ACTAGCTTCGTTGCGTTGACGAAATAAGAACGATGAGATAAATCCAGCGGAGGTGAGTTTTCCACTCACTGTAGCTGAGCGACGCTTGTGAGCAGCGCGTCACGCCCTTCCCATGTCCACTCACTCTCCCTTATTCGCGCGAGGGCAAGAGCGGCCTCACCTCGGACTGACTCGAGCTTCTCCACACTCTGCTTGACTGTTCCGCCTATGATCTGCTGCAAAGTCTCTTGGGGGACAAGGTCAGATGATGAAGGGATCGAGGAAATAATCTTGCCGAGGGAGTTCAGGGCGGTTGATCGAACCCAGGATCCGACATCGCCTCGCTGATCGGTAGTATAGTCGTCGAGCCCAACTAACAGAGCTGAAAAGATCGACGAAAGCTCCGCGGGCGTCACTGGAACTCGGTGTCAGCTGGGACAAAATACGACGTACAGGTGTCAGCTTACGGATGGGTTCCGCGTCGACTCGCTGTATCGCGATGTCCCCTAGGGATCTTGCAGCATATTTCCGGCTCTCGATGTCCATCTTGACGATATCCCCTAAGATACCGACCAACGCTTTCACGGCTTTTTCCGTCAAAGGCGAGTCGAGGGGATACTGGACCTGCCCCAATGCCAGACATGCGGTTTGCCTCTGGCTCAGTCTGAACGTTTTGAGATCCGCTACAAGCCTAGGCACAAGTCATCAGCACCTTGCGCCTCTGACATACAAGAAAATTGAGTATCTTACTTGTTGACATCTTTTGTGGGCTCCCTAAGACAACTCAGTCGACCATAGACTCGCGCGATACTCTCCTGGACCTCAGGTTCCCTTCGTTTCATCCCCGTGTCGATATATCTATCCAAGATTGCTTGGGTACCCGCCTGGGTCAGGATTGATGGCCCGAGAATGGAGACCAGGAGTTCGAAGATGGCAGAAAGGATGTCTGCAGCCTGTGATGAGACCAAGGCAGCTGGTCGTATAGTTGACAGAGAATCAAATATCTGTAGTTTTGTTAGCTTCCAGACGGTCTGTATCAGTCTCGATCAGCTCACTTGTTGTCTTCTGTTGTCCTCCGCATCGAACATTGTCGAAATCTGCGTGAGCGCGATCAAGGCACCGTGGACATTGGACGCATCAAGCGAAGGCAGCTCTTTGATCTGGTCATGGAACGAGTCAGCTTGACAGTCGAGGTAGATTGCCTCGGGAGAGCTCACCTCTCGTTGGATCGAGTCTTGCAGGTCGACTTCCTCGCCGAGTTGAAGGAGACTTCTCAGGGTCTGAGCTCCTTGGACCCGCATAGCTGTGTCCCAATGTCTAAAGGTGATGTGATGCAGGTGCTCTCTCATGCGATTCCTGTACACTTTGTGCCTGTGTATGATTTTGAGATAAGCTTGTTGCCGAACCCATTCGACAAAAAGCAGCGATGGGTACTTACACAGCAACTGCTGGAGCAGCGACAGTGAACGCCAGTCGCCGTACACTGACAGAATAGAAATCTGTCTTCGCCAGAACGTCGATACCTTCCGGGTACAGTCCCTACACAAGCACGGTTCTCCATGAGAGGTTGACAACGACTCGATCAAAGACCGATAGTGGACTCACCAGGCGTCCGACACCCTCCTGGAAAGCAGCACTAGCAGCGCGTCTCACACCGACCTCTCGGTCGAATACAGCTACGCTAACCAGCGCCGTTGCCATGCTTTCAGCATATCGTTCCAACATCTTGGGTTTGCAGGCTCTTGAAAGTGACCAAAGAAGGTATGCTGCGGCGTCTCGGACGTTTGCCCCGATCGAATGAGAAGCCCTTCGCAGGTCAAAGGTAAGGGCCTGTTCCGCTGCCGCTTAGCCATCGTTCACGATTGTGGTCGGTCAGTCCCTCAAACTTCAACTCACTTTTACTACCCATTCCACTGCCTCTCCGATTGCTTCTTCATCCACCAGACCCCTTCTAGCCATCTCGGCCAAGGCTAGACATACACCATGCCATCTAGCCTCCCCACGACTGGTCTCTAGTCCACCGAATCCCAAGGTCCCGCCCGACGTTGACGACCCTCCCGGATCAATCACGGTTCCGAATGCAGTGATAGTGACAGGTTCATCTTCAGTGCCTTGGAACAAGGAGATAGTCGCTTGTACGATCTGCGAGCAGAAGGAAGGTGGAAGGAGGAATGAGAGTCGAGCTAAGTATTTCGCTGAGGAGTATCGGACGATGGTGTCCTATAGGGCGTTGACATCAATATATGAGATCCGCTGGAAAGACAATCAATTTATATGGAGGACATACCTTGTCTGAAAGCCCGCCCATCAGGTCGTCCAGCCATTCTTCGAGACCTTCCGGCAGATCGGCGTCTTCCTCGTCTTCTGCATGTGCACACGGATGCTAGCCCAGTCAGTCTATAGACAGACCACGACATCTTACAACACTTACCAGCCTGCCCTTTCCGGCCTCGTCCCACCTTGGCCAGCCATAGTCGCCCCTTAGCCTTGATTGCCAGTTTTCTTATCAGCCCCGACCCGGCAGCCGTCGTCGATCCTCGCAGATGGGGCAGTAAGTTCTCCTCCATGAAGTGCTCCACCAATGGCAGATGTTGCGTTTTGAGCAAAGACGGCAAGAGTGCGAGGAATTCGAATACAGATGCGGCGAGGTGTGCTTCTCCCTCTCTCTCGCCATCCCTGATCTCTGCGACAGCCCAGTCCAAAAACCCTGCCAGACCTTGCACGGCATCTTCTCTGGAATACAGTCTGGCAAGCACCAATGCGGAATATGCGCCCTCCTTTCCGGGTCGAGAGAGTAGAGGGATTGATAGCAGGATAACCCGCTGTGCGAGCTCGGCTGAAGGCGTTTTGAAGAGCAATGAAGCTGATGGCCGATCGATTCCGTATGCAACCGATGATACTCTGATGGAGTTGTCCGATAGAGCTGTCAGATTAAACGGCACTGTGAGAAGCAACGCAAGCCAGAGTAGCAATACGGCTCGAAGCTCCCATGCTTCTGGAGAGGAAAGCAAGGGGTGCTGTGGTGTAGAAGGAGTGGTGGAAGACGAAGGGGATGTTGGCGGGCTGAGCAGGGTGACGAGCATAGGCAGGTTGGGGATAGCCGATGGAAAGTGTGGTACTATATGGTGTCTCAGCTACCTGACAACCTGGACGATCATCCAAGCAGAAGATTAACGTACCGACTGCTTTCCATCCTCTGACTTTGACTATCCAGTTGAGAACCCTTCCAAGTCTGGCCAGCCGTTTGGGATTGGTGAACGCAACACTTGATCGAGACTCTTGAGCTTCAATGAGTCTGTGTAAAGTCTTGCCCAGCCCTTCCATCAATGACGGTACTATGTGGTCTAGCGACGGGTCCAGTAAACCAGGCAGAGGAAGGTAATAGTCCAGCTAAATGACATGTCAGCTTTTCCCCATTACCGATGACGACGAGGAAGCTCACGATTCCTCCCAGTGAATCAACAAGGGCGTCCTCGACCTCATCTTCCTTCGCATCTGATTCCCGCTCAATGTCCAAGCTCCGGAAGCGTTCCAGTAGCGCTAGGAACTCTGAGCGATGGGCGAAATGTGTGTACGTCGGGTCGGAGTCGTCCTCCAGCCCGTGGGAGGGCGTTGTCTTCGACATGACGATTCGTATGATTGAATCAGTATCGAGTTGTTGAGAAGAGGATAACGGATCGACCGAAAATGATGCAAAGCGAAGAAGCAATCAGACGAAATTAGCAGCATCACGGACAGTCGGCTGTCGGGCGCTCGGACGCGCCGCGTCGCGAAGTGAACAGAACATTGATATGAACCACGTGGACCGAATCAGATCATCAGATCTGCGACGGGCTATAGAGATAAAAGAGCGATCAGAGCGCCATCAAGCATCATGATGGATACACGGGTAGCAGAGCAAAGGAAGAAAGACATATGGCGAATGCATGACAACGCCACGATCAAATCACAGTGTACTCGTACACACAGAGACAATAAGGAAATCGAGACCCTGCATCGGTAATGTTGCCAAGTTGAATGACCATGGCAACGACATAGTTGACCAAGCCGATCCAAGTGAACAATAGCGCAGAGTGAGAGATGAATGAGGTATATATGGCTAGTCTTTGGTGTCCAAAGTCGACGTTGATTCCTCTTTGCAATCTCATTCTGCTATGATCGTTTCCCAATATACCACCAATGATTGTCCGATTGACGTTCGAAAACTTTGAGCTCGTGGGCCAATCAACAGCCTCTCGTAGTGGTGAGGTCTCCACATGGAGTGATCTGCCCAACGACTTTCAGTCAAGCGCTCTTCTCCTTGGTCGCGCTCTGACTGAGCGATCATTCAAGCGCAGCCGAAGTCTGAGGGCGGGCTTCGTTGCTGCCATTGCACGTCAGCTGAAGGAAGATGTGCCCGTCCGGCCCTACATCGACCACTCAGGCATACTGACTGATAGTTCATTGCAAGGTATGTTCCACCCTTCTTCTGCACTTTCAAGTTGATTGTCATCATTGAATCATGGGTACTGTGGTACCTTTGAGTAGAGTCACAGCTCACCTTCGATCGCATGCTCCACTCGCCTTACACAAGGCCCGACCGTCTATCATCGCATCGCGCTCTTCGATACATGACGCCCAACACCTTGGTCAATGTACAAGACATCCAAGGAGAATATTATCAGAAGCGAAAGGGATGAAGGCCAGATAGACAGATCGATTGTCGTACTGCCTCCATGGAAACAAGGGTATGTACCGAAAGTGAATGGCACCTTTCATCACCGCGCGCGGCTATCTCGACAAGACTTCTTCGCCGGATATTTCAACCATCCTTCATGCCCAGTCGATGTCCTTCACTCGTCTTTCATCTTCACAACCCGGTCGTCTGTCCCCATCACCGCGATCGCCCCCAGCGTGCATGATAGCTCTTGCATAGCCGAGCGTATCCCCGGACTCCTTGCCGTCTCATTCTGCGCCTTCTTCCAGGCCATCTCTGCCTTTCCAACCTATCCTACGAAACCTCCTCCGTCGGCCAAAAACGATACACGGCCTGGGAATCGAACCCAGGGCCAGCGCATTCATATCCGGGTCGTTCCCGGCCAGTTTTAAGCTGGGAAGCGCAGATGTTACCATTACACCAGCCGTGTCGTCATCGTTTTTCTACGATGAACAGCAGGCCCTAGACGCTTCATAACTGGTCCGGGCAACACGGCTGGTGTGACGGTAACTTCTGCGTTGCCTCCGGGGACGATCGGAAACGTCAGGAAGGCAGGATGGGTCAGACGGAAGGTGCATCATATTGGGACCAGGAAGACCTGTGCAGAGCTCGTGTTGATACTCATGATCGATAGGAAGGCTGCCGAGCGACTCTTGGGCGAAAGTAGAATGAGAATAGGGGAGATCGGGTCATTCAGCGCTTCGGCGAGCTGGAATCGATTTGTACGTCCTTCTGTGCTTCATCTCATCGCATCCGCCACGGCTGTCTACATTATCCGCGCCTTGTACGACGAATGGAAAGTTGAGAGGGCCGCTTGAGGCTATAAAAGACACTGAGATTGGAGTACCGAGAATGAGCGCCTCGTCTTCTCAGAGAGTCTCTTGAGATGCTCGGGACGGCCTTGTTCTAACCGGAATATCCCTTCCCTATGCATGCTGTTCACCGAGCACAATCGAGTCTGCACAAATTTCGCTGTCTGCTAGCACGCAGGCGTGAGCTCGTTCAGCATGCTCCAATGCATTGTTGTATGAAGTTCACGACTCTTGGATTGCGAATTTGGTGATTTTGGATGAGCGATGTGACGCGTCAAAGTGGAAAATCAAAAACAAAAAATCAGTGCAGTAAGTGTGCGCGATTTGATGGCTAGTCCGTGCGTTTGTGTGGGTGTGTGTTGTTCTTGTTCGGTTTGGGATCAAATCAATAGCTACTCGCTCAATCGTCGATAAACAATCCATCTTCCTTCTTTAGTGTCACTCGTCCCGTACATATCAAGAGACTGCAGTAGATAGCCAGTTCCTAGCCTGTTCATCAGCACGCCGCATGCGTGCCAGCTCAGACATGCCATCTATCCTTCAGCCGCATCCACCGCCTGCTCCTTCATCATCTTCCTCGAAAACAAATGTCAAGGTGACCACCTACACCTCCGAGTCCCGCCGATCAATGCTACCGCTCTCCCCGTCTACTACCTCTACACTGCAAGCGGACTCACCAGAGCGTCTGCGTATCGCCTTGACTTCCGGATCGAGTTCGTTACACGCTCATGCTCATGCACATGTAAACGGGCATGCGGGTAGAAACTCTTCTTCGTTCCAGGATGAGCATGAGAACGATGTCGAAGGCAAGGAAGATGAGCTGGAACAAGTGGATGGGCGTCTGCATCATGGCGATGATGAGGAGGAGGAAGACGAAGACGAAAGGAACGTCCCAAGCGAGAGTGAAGAGGATGGAGACGATTCCGAGGGCGATATGGATATCGAGGAAGATTCGGATGGAGACAGCGAGATGGGAGACAGGGACGAGAGGATAGTCGTACACGGTAAGTGAAATGACCGCTTCTGAGACCCAACACCTTCTTCCTTTTCAATCCACTCGTAGAATTGTAAGGCGTCTTAGTTCTGATATTCGATTCACATAACCAGTTGAGGCGCGCCTCCGACCCGACAGTACCGGTTTATTGCGAAGCCTAGAACCAAGCCTGATGTCTTTTGTCCAGACAATCGAGAGACCCATAACGTTGGGCGCGAGACTGTTGGGATGGGACGAGATCGCTGTACTAAACAGCAATGTGGAGAGAGTATGGGTAGGAGAAGGTCGTGAGTGCTCTGTGTTTTTTTTTTTTGCTGCGGTCGTCCCTGTAATCTCATACAATCATGTCATCGTAGCCCAAGGGGTATCGTCCGTCCGCCCAGCAGATGCCAAGATCCAACTACATATATACCGTGCGAACGAGTCGGACGACCTCGAGGAATTCTCAGCAGACTTTGATGGTTAGTGCAACACCTTTCTTCAACAGTCGGTTATTACCTCTCGCTCATCATGGTGGCACTCGTTATTTTGCTTCACAGATGATGATGAAGAGAAGGTCACCGCGGCGTCAATGAGAGTGTTGCCGTCTCTCGAGCTGGACGGGATATGGGACACGTGAGTAAATCAACTGCGCCGGCGCCTGAGATCATCCGCAATGCCGTTTATGCTGATGCTTCTTCGACAGCCTGGTGTATGCAGATGACCTCAAGACTCGTCTCCTGAATTACATATACTCTACCATTCACTTCTCAGAATTACAAATCGACTCGGATATAGTGGCGTGGAATAGGTGAGAATCGCAGCTAGGAAAGACACGAACGAGTCCGCGAACGCGAGTCGGTTCAGCTGATATATACGTTACTACAGAGTCGTGCTGCTCCACGGACCTCCGGGCACAGGCAAGACAAGTTTATGCAGAGCATTGGCGCAGAAGATCTCTGTCAGGCTAGACAAGAGGTGAGTCCACCTTGCGCCTGCGCTTCCTTTTCGCTCGACTATGTGTACTGACAGGATATGTAGCTACTCGCAAGGGAAATTGATCGAGATCAACTCGCATTCCCTTTTCTCGAAATGGTTCTCCGAGTCGGGCAAGCTTGTTCAGCGTCTATTTGAGACTGTTACAAAGGAAGTCGATGATGAGAGCCAGTTTGTGGTCGTCATGATTGGTGAGTCAGCCTTCTGTTGTCCCTCGTAGTCCCGGTCACTGATATATGGGAACAGACGAGGTTGAGTCCCTTACTGCTGCCCGAGCGGGTGCGATGCGAGGTAACGAGCCGTCAGACTCGCTGAGGGTGAGTGTGTTGCTACCGAGAGATAGACCCTTCGGCTGATCGAAAACATCTCTCCAGGTGGTCAATGCACTCCTGACTCAACTCGACAAGCTGCGTATGAGGAAGAATGTATTGGTTATGACCACCAGTAATCTGGCGGAAGCCATCGGTGAGTCATGACGCCAGCAGTATTCATTAAGATCCGGTGTAATAGCCGCAATGCGCTGTCTCTGACGCATTGGTCCTCTTGCAGACGAAGCGTTCATCTCTAGGGTCGACATGCAAGAATACGTACCCCTGCCACCACCGCAAGCAGTGTACCACATCCTGTCGGGCTGCCTAGATGAGATGATGAGCAAAGAGCTTATGAAGCGTGTAACATTGCTCAAGTGGGACGCTGCAAATTACTCTGCTGGCTCGAAGGAGAGGGAATCGGAAAGGAAGGAGCGGGTCGGCGCAGCGCTGGCGGTCCTAGCCAAACGATGTTATGTGAGTGGGATGCATACCGCGGGCCCTTCGCATCTTTCACCCGGCACTGGTGTAATTGTAGCTGGTGTGGAGCTTTGCTGCCCGCAATCACTTCCTTGGCTATTGGCCATTGGTCACACGCTTCCATCCTTCCCTGCCGTTCCTCTGTTGCGATCGCAATGTGACGCCATCAAAACAAAATGGTCATGCTTACTTTCGTCACTGGCGTTGATCGCAGTCCCTCGAGATCTCCGGTCGAACCCTGCGTAGGCTTCCCGTGCTCGCCTACGCTCGATTCCTCTTACCCCGATCGGGCAAACACCGTCCGCATCGTATCGAGAGATGGCTAGAGGCCATGAACAGCTATATCGACGTTGAGCAAGAAAACAAGCGACAGGAAGCTGCGCGTGCGCGCTTGGTTGCCAATGGAGTGGCAATAGGATCTCAAGATGCTGGGAACGGTGCCGGGCACGGGCATGGACGAGGTCATGCGAGAGTCGCCAGCATCGACAGGTCCGAGGTGGGCACGATGGTCGGAACGGCGATAGCTGGTGAGAAGGGGCCGCACCATGGACATTGAGAAGCGTGAGAGTGGAGGGGTCTCGTCCTCAATCGAGATCAATAGAGTTGGCGAGGCGTAGCACTATCAGCATCAACAGCATCTTCATCGTTATGAGTAACATTATCTGTTATCTGCGTTCAGCAAACATTACAGTATCTTCATCCGCAACAGCATCGTACTGAGCACAGTACCAATTCTACATGTCACGGCGTGCTTCATCGACTTTTGGCGACGTGTCACTCGGCAATCATATGTATCTCATACGCATAACGACGCGTACGCATCGGGAGGGAGAGTAAATGATCTCATGTCATGGCCTCGCGGTCGAGGTCAGGGTTGAACAATGCGACCTGGAGGAGTCTGTCGTACTGAGCTATACTGTAGTCCAGTATACCCAACTCTTCAAAGTCAGATACCAAGTTTCCGCCTTGCAGCTCTAGCTTCTTCCCTCGAGCGAGCGATGGCAGGATGCGCTTCGTCCTCCGAGGTGGTGTATGCGCCGTCGTCCTCAGTAGCTGCAGCGGCGGCGGCGTCCCTGTCGACGTCTTTACCGGTGGAAGAATGCGTGGCAGCTTGGGATCGCTTCATAGCCAAACTCTGCTCTGTGGCATTCAAAGCGGTCTTGGCCGCAGGTGCTGACGAAGCGGAGTCATTAAGAGTGGTCAGATCGCCATTGACTGATGCACTATCAGCGTGCGAGCTTTCGCCGCCCGAGCAACCGCTGAGAGAAGGAACACGATCGTCTTCTGCGGCGGTAGAAGTGGCAGTGGCAGTGGACATGGCGGTGTCGGTGGTGGTAGCTTGAGAAGCTGACCTGAATGTAGACGTAGAGGTAGCGTGGGCAGAAGAAGAAGGAGAAGCGGGCCCCGTCGTGGTCATCTCTTCGCTTGTTATGATCTCAATTTCGATTTCTGATCGATCGTGTCAAACAAACGATACTGGTGTTGGTACAATATACCAATCGAAGGCAGGGGAATAGAACAATTCAAAAGTATGAAAAAGTTACACATGCACAGTCATACAGTTCTATGACTGTCTGACTGCGGTTGTTGACCATGACCACGACCCTCATTCTTGTGAAATACCGGAGCGAGCTTGTACAGGACCACCTTTCACTCTTGCTCTGCGCAAAGGAGCGGAACGATTCTTGCGACGCTCCTCAGGTAGCATGCATCCCTCACTTCGTCCTCTTTTTCTCTCCCTTCTCTCCCTGCTCTCCCTGTTCTCCCTGCTCTCCATGCTCTCCTTGCTCTCCCTGCTCTTCTCCGTCTCGCATCCACTCGTGACTTCCTGCTAATCATGCACTGTGAGCTCTGGGGGAGT